TTGTAAAGCTTTTTGTATAAATTTTATGTATGTGTAGCATTTTCCTTTAAAGTTTAACTTGCAGATCTTATGTTGCATACTTAATTTCATAAATATTTATTTATTTAATATTTGGAATTAGTTAGTAGTAGAGTCATGAATAGGGTTGTCTGTTACAACTCTCTGTATATTAATCAGATTTGTTATTAAATAAAATATGCTCAATATATTTATATGTTTTAACTTCTGTGAAGTTATAAAGCGCTTGTTCTCCTCAATGCCAACTAATTGGAGGCCTTCCCCCCTCAGAGTGGATCTTTCTCACATATTTCTTTTGTTTTTATTTTTGTTAATTTTATAAACCAATTGGAGGTCTTTCCTTTCCGTCAAAGTGGGTCTTTCTTTTCTATTTCTTTTGTTGTTGTTTTTGTTTTTTTGTTTGTTAATTTTGTTAAGAAGAAGGTACGTAACAAGCGATATCAGAGCCAATCGATCTTGGAAATAGCTACACCATCAAAGATGTCAGAGTTTATGCGTACAAATATAGTAAAAATCAAGTCACTTGTTTTGGATATGATCAAGATAAGCAACCAATTCAACGAATTTCAATATGAGATCACCATGTCGGTCAAAGGAATAAATAAGAAATTAATCAAGTATATCATAAAATCAAATCTTGAAAAAGTTGATTTTGTGATAGATGGAGATGTGCCAATCAACATTGTTAAGAGTTTAATCAATCAACAACATTTTAGAGGTTATTTTGTTCCAAAAGGTGAAAAGTAAATAAAATATAACTACATTTGACATGCCTTTTTCCTTTTTATTTCTAAATCTATTTCTAAATTCTTGAACCAAACACAACCTTGCTTCATTGTACCTCGGAAATAGTGCATTCAAAAGCTGTTGCATACTAATGTTTTTCCTTCAAATTGGTGGAGGCAAATTGGCATTGAATATCTCCCCTTGCATCACAACCTGAAAATGATCTCCCCTTGCATCACAACCTAAAAATGTCTTCTTAGTTTTTTAGCTGTCTTTTTATCTTTTTGTATCCATCCGGGAGCCTTTTTAGTATTTAGGTTTTATCTCTCTTTTGTACTTGGGTAAATTATATTTTGCCTCTTTTATATTTGGTCATTTTTTTATTTTGGTACTTAAAGTTTATTTTTTCTCACTTTGACCTTTTATATTTTAAGTTTTTTCTAATTTACTCCTAAAACTAATTTATGTTCAAAATTAAACAGAAATACATTAACTACCACATAACATTAAAATATTTTATTATATATAACTCACACCTTTAATACAAATTCAAACTCTAATATAATAATATATCTTTATGTTATGTGGCAGTTAACGTGGTATTTTTTGTATAATTTTGAACATAACTTAGTTTTAGGAGTAAATTGGAAAAAATTTGAACATGAAGGGCCAAAGTGAAAAAATAAATAAACATAAACGAGGCAAAAGTGTAATTTATCCTTTGTACTTTGATGCTCTCTATTAGATTAAATGGCTCTATATTATGACTCTAAACTATGGTTTTGTATCTCGTTATTTTGTAAAAAAAAAATAATAATAAAGTCCTGGAGGAAGAATATCATCGATGCTAGTAATCCATATAAGGAAAGAAAGTGCCTCCAGGCGTATAGTCATTGTCCTAAAGTCATTATTTCTCGCCACGTCTCGTACAACCGAGAGTGTAAAGACTCAAGATACAACCCAAATGCTCACAATTTTCCTTGTTTGTTGTTCACTCTATCAGGAGAATCTGAGGGGCTTTTCCCATATTAAGCCTATTTTGTATCTTAATTCACAAACTAGGCTTAGTTTGGACGGGAGGCCCAAACTGAGCTAAAATGCTATTACAAATCGCGCTTTTACTGTTTGGAGCTCAAAATGTGATGAATAGTGAAAGCGCTATTGCAAACAGCGCTTTTAATTAAGAAAGTGCTGTTAAAAATCACGCTTTTAACATAAAAAAAAAATTCTGAAGAAAACGCTATTTGAAATAGCGCTTTCACTGTGTATTCGTTTTCTAAAGAAAACGCTATTTGAAATCGCGCTTTCACTGTACATATTTGTTTTCTTAAGAAAACGTTTAAAATATATTAAAATGTGACCAAAATAAAAAATAAATGCTTTGTAGCACAAATGGTAGTGTGCTTGTTTTGCCACCACAGTGGCGTGGGTTCAATTCACGGGAATTGCTACCTTTCAATTAAGTTCAACTCTTCTCTCTTTTTTTTTTCTTTTTTTTTTCCACTCACTCTATACTTTATATATTTATTATGTAATTTTTTTATAAAAAAAAAGTAAAATGTTTGTTTGGTTAACTAAATTTTTTTTCTATAAAATACAATTTTTTTTCAAAATGTCAACATGATTATTTAAAAAGTATTCAGTGTATTTGGTTTGAATTTAGTTATTTGAAAATTGAGTTTTTTTATTTTCGTATTTTTTTATTTTTAGTGAATATTTTTAAAATTTTAAACACTGTTTTTTTTACTTTTTTAGATGCACCTTAGTTAGATGTATCTAAAAAGTAAAAAAATTGTGAAAAAATATTTTAAAAAATTAATAAATACATAAAAATACAAAAAAATGTACTGAAAAAATATTTTTGTATTTTTAGTATCTTTTCAGCAAATTATCATTTTTTTCAGCAAAATGTACTCAAAAAAATATGCACAGTGAAAGTGTATTCCAAAAATATTTTTTCAGCAAAATGTACGCTTTTAAAATGTACTAAAATATTTTAAAAGCATACACTTTTTTATTTTTTCATAAATATATAAAGTATAGAGTGAGTGAAAAAATACAAAAAATACAAAAATACAAAAAATGTACTGAAAAAATTAATACAAAATATTAATTTTTTCAGCAAAATGTACTCAAAAAATATACGCTTTTAAAACATTTTGGTACATTTTAAAAGCGTACATTTTGCTGAAAAAATATTTTTTGAGTACGCTTTCACTATGCATATTTTTTTGAGTACATTTTGCTAAAAAAAATGATAATTTGCTGAAAAGATACTAAAAATACAAAAATATTTTTTAAGTACATTTTTTGTATTTTTATGTATTTATTAATTTTTTAAAATATTTTTTCACAATTTTTTTACTTTTTAGATACATCTAATTAAGGTGCATCTAAAAAAGTAAAAAAAAAAATTAAAATTTTAAAAATATTCACTAAAAACAAAAAAAAATACGAAAATAAAAAAAACTTAGTTTTGAAATAACTAAATCCAAAAAATTCAAACCAAATACACTTAATACTTTTTAAATAATCATGTTGACATTTTGAAAAAAAATGTATTTTATAGAAAAAAAATTTAGTTAAACAAACAAACATTTTACTTTTTTTTGATAAAAAAATTACATAATAAATATATAAAGAAAATTACATAATCAATATATAAAGTATAGAGTGAGTGAAAGGGGAAAAAAAAAAAAAGAGTTGAACTTAATTGAAAGGTAACAATTCTCGCGGATTGAACCCACGCCGCTGTGGTGCAAAACAAGCACACTACCAATTGTGCTACAAAGAATTTATGTTTTGCATTGGTCACATTTTAATATATTTTAAACGTTTTCTTAAGAAAGCAGCTTTGCACAGTGAAAGCGCGATTTCAACTAGCGTTTTCTTCCAAATACGAATCCACAGTGAAAGCGCTATTTCGAATAGCGTTTTCTTCAAAAAAAAAATTTATGTTAAAAGCGTGATTTTTAACAGCGCTTTCTTAATTAAAAGCGCGGTTTGCAATAGCGCTTTCACTATTCATCATATTTTGGACTCCAAACAGTGAAAGCGCGATTTGTAATAACGTTTTAGCTTAGTTTGAGAATTTCGTTCAAATTAGGCTTAATTTAAAAATTAAGATGCAAAATAGGCTTAATATAGGAAAAGCCTCAGAATATGAACATATGCAAGTATATCCCATATGCATGTATTTTCTTGCATGCCTTGTATGTCTCGCACCTTTATCATATGCCTAGTGGATTGGAGTTGAAAAAAGTGAGTCATACTAGGCATTTTGTCTAACAAGCATTATATGCCTAGTGGGTTGGAGATGTTCTTAGAAGACACAGGTTTATATATGATTCTTAGTAGGCATGCTAACAAGTACCTCATGCATTGTTTAATGTTGGGATTAGTGTAAAAAGTGTTTTAAATTGAGTGAAATTGTTACAAAACTAATAAAAAGTGTATTGAATTTTACACTTATTTTGTCTTTTTTGTGTCCCCTTAAGACACTTGTTAGCAAGACTCTTTTCTGTAATCCATGAATTCAAATATAATAAATATAAATATAAATATAAATAATGATAATATAATAAGAATAATAAAATTCTTATTAAAGAATAGAATAACGAGACAAAGCATTTATCATTAGAAAATGCTATAAACCCCAAACAAATTACCAAACTTTTCACATGGATGTGGAACCCACACCAATGTGATTTGTGTGATCCATGTGAGAGATTTAGTAATTTATTTGGTAATTTATTTGCGGTTCCTAACATAAACTCTGTATCATTCATCTAATTTATTTAATAGCCAAATTAATGAAATAATGAAATAAGAATTTTATTTTTATTAAAATTTCAACACAAACTCAAGTCATTGGTTGCTGCTCACTAGGTTTCTTTACTAGTTGCTATATTTCAACACAAACTCAAGTCATTGGTTGCTGCTCACTAGGTTTCTTTACTAGTTGCTATGCTAATAAGCATACAATATTTCAGTGGATCTTGATACTTGGACATAACATTTCTGTTTATATCATTTATTCTTTTGTTGTTTATTGTCGCTAAAGGCAGCATCTTCTCTGTAACCGATCTTTTGAGTTTCAGGTTGTTTGCAGTATTTTTTCTATCCATGATTGATTGACAAGCTTCTTAATATATTAATACCTAGATTCAGCCAAAAATTTGAGAATGCACAACATGACTCATTGAGGTTGCTGAACGATGGACGATGACAATACCATATACCATATCAACTTGCAATTTTAAAAGCGAATAAAACATATATCAAGATTGATATTGATCTATCAAAGTAAAAACTTTGATTTCAAATTGTTAAGAAACCGTCATAGCATTCAAATATTATGTTAAAATGAATTACAAAGGAAATTGAGTTCCTTTTTCCCGTTTCAATTTCTCATTTCAACAATCAGATTTCAACCATCAGACTAGGTTGACAGGTCGTCTTCGTTGAAGTCAGAATCCTCACTAACCTCATCATCCTCAGATTCACTCAAAACGTATACTGCCTTCCCACGATTCATCCTCTGTGGTCTAGCCTTTGGAGCCATGACTTCTTCACTCAAATCCTCAGTATTCACTGCATTCGAAGCAGATCCCAAGTTTTCTTCACTTCCAGTCGAACTGTTCTCATCTTCCTTCCCAATATTTCCCAAAACAGACCCACTTTTCTTGTTAAATGGAGATGCCCTCATCTTCCTCACTTTCTTCTCAGGTGAAATCCCCATATTTTCTGCAGTCTTAAAAACTTCAGTTATAAGTTTCTGGCCTGTTGTCTTAGCTGGCACTCTTTTCTTTGTTGGTGCTGGGGGTTTAGCTGCCTGCTTTGCATTTGCTGCTGGCTTTCTCCCTCCTTTCTTCTTTCCCACTTCTGGTGCAACTTCCTCTGCAAGTTCAAAATCCTCGTCGCTGATATCTTCCTCATCTTCATCATCAGAAATCTCTGTCAGAGTTGACGACAAAGGCTTCTTTGCAGCAGCCCTTCTAGTAGGTTCTTTTTTCCTGGTTGGTACCTGGGGCATCTCAGTTTCCAAGGCTGCAACAACTTCAAGGGTAAGCACACGGAAGGTCGTATGTAGGCTATGAAATTTACAATCAAGACAATTGAGAGATTCTCTAATGTGTGCAATTGAAAAGATTGTGTGTGCTATGAAATTTACAATCAAGGCAATTGAGCGATTCTTTAATGTGTGCAATTGAAAAGATTGTGTACTATGAAATTTACAATCAAGGTGTGCACACTAACTGCTTTTGTGGGTATTTTCGGAAATAAAAAATGTTACATGTCAACACAGCATTATATAATAGTATAGATATAACAAAAATAATAATATACAATAAAAAGTAAAAAAGAAACAAGCAAACACGTCTTCCGTTTTATCATTCAACACAATTGCCCAAATTTTTAAATCTTCTTTTTCCTTTTTCTTTTTTTTTTCCCTCAAGAATTACATAGTTCTTCCTGCAAACTGATACTTCAGTCTTCCAAAACTATTTATCAAATATAACCTATTAATTCATAAACTTTGAATTGCTAACACATAAGCACAATTCCAAAACCTGTAATGGACATTTCTGCTAAAAAAGTAAAAATGAAAGGCCATAAATACGAAAACAGTAAGATAAAATTTACCTTCTGAGTGGTCAGGAGAAGATTCAAGGTTGTAAGCAGCAAGTCGTTCTTTTAGCTCAAGTACTTCATCATCTTCATCTTCGTCTTCATCTTTAAGGCTCACAGATGCCTTTTCCTGCCAAGCAAATAGTAACACTTCAGAGAATTTACTCAAAAACATAATGGGGTCTGATTGTAATATAATCGAAAGATGCAGACCTTTCTGGCTGGTGCTTTCTTTGGACCTGCTCTGCCTTTCGGTTTCACAACCTCAGGAACATTACCTGACGAAGGAGAGGAAAGACTATCCAAGTTAAGATACTGATGTTTATTGAGATATAGAGTGACACCACCTGAGAGAGGGGAAAAAAAATGATTCCAAACCTGTACCTGTTTCCATTGTTGAACTGGTTGATATTTCCATTGCATCAGAAACAGTTTCTGCATTGGTGGCCTTCTTGTTATTCTTCCGTGGATTTTTGGGTGCTTGTCTGGATACTTTAAGACCAGCTTCTACCATCACCTTGTTTTTCATCACCTTTCTAGCCTCCTCTGCCTTGTCATCACTCTTTTCTAATTCCTGAATCAAGAATACATGAATATATATCAGACAAGGAAGGGATCAAGAAATCAAAACAAATGAAGAAAAGCCATTCATACATTGAGTTCTTTCTCAAGAGCATCAAGATCTTTAATCCACAAAGACCTTGGTGTTGCCTTCCTCAAGTCATCAACTTCTTTGTTGAGTTTATCTCTATCTGCACATAGCTCCTGAACCTTCTCAAGTGTCAAGGTTCCAATGGCCAATGACAGCAAGTACTCATAATCACTAGCCCGAACTCCTTTGGTGCCAATGATCTCTGAGTTCTCTTCAGTCTCTTCTGCATCATCAGTTACCCCAGCAACTGTTGCATCCGTATTTTTCATTTTCTTTGGGAAAGGTGTAAAACCTTTATCCCGCAGCTCAAGAAACAGGTCGGCTCTCTTCCTGTTGCTCACAATGATCTCTCCTTTCACAACCCCAAGTATGAACCTAACCTTGTTCTCCAACTTCAACAACTCCATTTCAAGATTATCTAGAAGAATTTTCTGTACAAGATCATTAATATATTTATTAGTAAATAAGCCATGTCTTGCTAAGCAGTAAGAAATAAATTCAATGCATAACTTTTTATGAACCAACTTGCCTTTCTCTTCTCATAGAATTCAAGTCTTACGTGGAAGAATTCTTCAAGAACTACAAATCAAAAGAATTAAATCGTAAATAACCTGAAAATTTGATGCATGATTACAGGTTAATCTGAACTGGTGTATAGTACAATCATACTCTGTTCAGGGGTTTCATATTTCTTAATCACGCCTTTTGGGTCAAACAGATGCATGTTGCTTGTGCTGATAGTTGTGATGAGTTTAAATTTCTTTAGCAAGCCCTCTTGCTTTGCCATGATCAAGTTCTCCTCGGACATAATAACTTCAAAGTGTACGGTGGTGTCATCGTTGTGCTCTCTATAATCCTGCAACCATTAAAATCTACCATGAGACTCCAAACACCTCACATACTACAACTTAATAATATACTAAGAAATCAGTTCAAGAAATCAAACTTAATTATACCTTGACAAATGGGTCCTTGATTTTATCATTTCCTGTCATAATTGATTCAAGAAATTCTTTATAATCTTGAGTCCATCGACGTATAGGCAGCTCTGTAATCCTGAGTGTAGTTTCATTGATTTCCTCCATAATTCCACACACAGTGTAGCTAACCCCAGCTTCTTTGGTTGCTGTCTTCTCAATGGTTCCTCTGAACCCTTTGTACCATGGATCCATCGGCACCATTTGCTCACCATTCAACAAACGCCTCACATTAGCAACAATATCCCTTGGATTATAATTTGGAATGTAGGAGCTCCATCCTGTCCCAATTCCTTCACTTCCATTGACAAGAACCAATGGTATGACAGGCATGTACCTGAACGAAAAACAAAAAAATTTAGACATCGCAAAACCTTCATCATAATATGTTTATTTGCCACTGATAAAAAAAACTTACCAGACAGGTTCAATAGATTGCCCATCTTCATTCAAGTAATCAAGAAGTATATCATCATCCTTGGGGAACATGAACCGTGTGATAGGAGAAAGCCGAGTGTATATGTACCTAGCACTCGCATGATCTTTGCCTCCCTTTTAAGAATCAACAATACATGTAAGCATAGGAAACAAATTTAAAACAAAACAACTAACTCCAATATGTTTGTTTGAATTTGATTGAGTGATATTTTTCTTTCCTCACCTGATGACGAGTGCCAAATTGACCGTTTGGTTGAAGCAGGTTTAAGTTATTGCTGCCCACATAATCCTGTGCCATGCCAATGATGGTACTGGCAAGACTCTGCTCACCATGATGGTAAGCTGAATGCTCAGATACATAACCAGAGAATTGAGCAACTTTTGCTTCCTTCACAAAGTTGCGCTTGAAAGAACAGAAAAGGATCTTCCTTTGACCTGGTTTCAGGCCATCAACCATTGAAGGAATTGACCGTTGAAGATCTGCCATAGAAAACAATATAAGCTCTTTGTTGACAAAATCACTGTACTTGATGAGCTTCTCCTTCTGATCAAGGTAAGTGCCAGGCTGCAAATCACATAGACAAAGAAAGTGTTATTAGAAAAAGAACAATTACAGTACACCTTAGATTTTATGGAAGAAAGAAATTGAACTTCCAACCTCAAACTGTCGGAGCCAATTCTTCCTTGCTTCAATTTTCTTCTTACTGAAGGCAAGCTCAATTGCTTCCCCATCTTGCTCATCTACCCACATGAAGTCTTTCTTGTGCATTTGAAGATTGCTAAAATACTCCTTCCCTTCCTTTGATGTGCTGGTTCCCAACCCCTGTCAAGCCAACAAGTGCAATAATTGATAAAGTACAATAATTACAAATCTGGCACAGTTCACCCAGAAATCCAAAGTAGGTTTCCTCAATGAAAACTTGAAGGGACAAATATAGTAATGCAGATAATAGAATACCAAAACTGACAACACACAAAAACACTGAGTACCCTAGATTTATCCCTCCTGTGATGTTGAACATACAAACCTTATAGTACTTAATGGACCAACCGCTGGCATTGCCTCCCAAACTCTCCTTCCAAGATTCATACTCCGGCATGGAATAAAAAGCTAGAACCTTCCCATTTCTGTGAGTAGCCTGTGCAACAATAAATACCAGTTATTATAAACTTCACTTTCAGTTCCACTAGACAGTAATGGAAGTAAGATTGGACAGAGTACATACCTTCACAATAGGTGTAATGAACTCAACCAAGAAAGAAGGAACTTTTAGCAACGATGGCCAAAATGAATGAATAAAATTAATCAACAGCCCTTTAATATGTGATCCGTCATGGTCCTGTGAATGCATAAAAATTGAAACTTTTAACCAAGTCATCAGCAAACAAAATAAAATGCATCCACACTAAGTAATGAATCAACATATAGATAAAACCAAAACAAAAAACAAAACAAGAAGTAAATGTGTTAAACCTGATCAGTCATGATCATCAAATGACCATATCTCAAAGTCTTCACACTGTCATACTGTTTTCCATGCTGAAGTCCAAGAATCTGCTTGATGCTCTGAATTTCAGCGTTCTCCATGATTTGTTTATGGCTTGCTTCCCTCACATTAAGCAATTTACCTCTCAACGGGAACACACCATAATAATTTCGACCCACGACAGAAATTCCTGCCATCTGTATATACTCAAATTAGTTAAAAACTCTAAAACAAAATCAAACTCAACCAAAACTACTTAAATAGCTAGACAACTTACCGCAAGTGCCTTTGCCGAATCACCTTCTGTCAAAATCAAGGTACATTTATCAGAGCTCTTCCCTCCAGCATCATTAGCATCTTCTAGTTTGGTAATCCCAGTTATCCTCTGTCTCTTTGTCCCATCAGTTTTCTTAAGATCCTTGCTCTGCTTAAAATCTGCCCATGACAAAAGACTTTCCACTATTCCAGACTTGGACACTGCAAAGAATTGACCACAAAAGCATCAAAATTAAGCTCACAAAAGGAGTAAACAGCTTTTCTGTTTTCTTTTTCTTTTTTAAAATTTATAATAATAATAACAACAGATTTCAAAATAATAGAACAAACCTTTCTTCAGGAACTCCTGTGAAAGTTCACATTTCGATCCAAAACTGCTTTGGCGAATTGTCAAAGTCTCTTTGGTTTGAGAATCAAAAGCTGGGTTGTCAATAAGAGCATTGACAAAAACCCATAGATGGTTCTTCACTGCGTGGGCTTTGAGATTTGCATTCTTATTCTTTTTATTAACAATACCCATTACATAGTTTGTAATCTGGTTGGTAACATAATCAACATGAGTCCCACCCTTAATTATCTTTCTGCTTATGACCAAATCAACATTTCTTCTTATGACCATAGGAAATATTTTGTATAACCGGACAATCCATCATACATGTTACCACTGCATCACTCTGCAGAATGCAGAATGCATGAAAGAGTTTTTCTGCTTATTACCGCTCCATTCAAATATCAATTCAATATGAAAACTAGTTTTTCATGAAAGGTTGACAATATGCAGACTAATTCATGTGAAAGGTTGACAATATTTCATGAAAGGTTGACAATATGAATTGATCCATAGTCTTCAATTGATCCATAGTTTTCTTTCAGACATCCAGTCTTCAACATTGAATTAGTCTTCAATTTTTTTTTCCCCCTTTTTTAAGACACAGAGATATTGAAAACAGAAGAATAAAGCATCTCTGATCTAATGTTTCCTCTCAAATTATAGTAATGGTTTAAAAATTAACAAGAAATACTAACCAACAAGCCCTCTTGGAGTGCCAGCTGCTTTGTAGTTTCTACAACTTCGTCACTGGATATCTGAAAGAATTAGCATACCACGATAAATAACACACGGTAAACAGAAAAACATGGCAACCTAATACAAGTATGACAAATATAGAAAAGAATTTGAACAAGATTGTGGGATATTCATACATAGACAAGCAAATTCATAACATCTAGTGAGCAACTTATAAGATTCCTGTGCATTGTATTAAGTTGGTAAACTATATAGTGCAATGCAGCACATCCTGCCACTGTCTCCATCCACTCAATTAAGCACAGGATGAAGAGACAAGTTTGGCTCAAAAGAAAACAAAATGATCAGGTTCCAAAATCAGTTATTGGAAAATATTTGGATTTTAGATATTTTGATTAAAATTATGAGAAGTAAAATGGATCAATAAATATTGAAATGAAAACCCTGGGAGGGCATCTAGTCTGGCTTTGGAGGCAGATTGAAGGTAGAGATTAACATAGTCGAGGAAAGACTTTACTGGAATACGTTGCCCATTAAGCTCAACCTTCACAGTCTTTCCAAGGCATCCCGCTAAGTCAATCACCCGCTTTTTCATCAGGGCAACAACATCATCTTCAAGATGAGTCATATTGAATTTTGCCAAGTCAGGCTTAAATGTGACTTTTGTCCAGTTTTCGCTCTCCTTGCATTTTGTTATGACGGGCTCAGATTTCTTTCCCATATTGTTGGAGAAAACCTTCATATGAGTGGAAGGAACTTGCCAGTTAGCAAAGCACATGAATCATGATAAGGTTTTGTAAGGAAAACTATATGTACAAACAACAAAATATGCTGCCAACGATTTTTTTATTAAAAAGATTCAAATCAGAATTTACATATTAGCAGGCAAGTGAAACATGCATGGTATGACTTAAATTTGGAAGAAACCCCAGCTTAGAAGGCTTTTACAGCTTTTACAAAGTAGGAAACCAGATAGCAAGTAATAAGTTCAATATTTGATGATGTTCTGCCTTTGCTATGTTTTGTCACTGGACCAAACAAAGCAATTGACGCATCTCTCAAAGGAACCCAACAGAATTCAACACAAATGAAGGTTATGTAATTACTCCTACTACGATGGTTATGATGTAAACAAAAAACCTCAGTTTCAGACCCATTAGAACAACATACCAACAACAGAAACCTAACACACACCAAAAAAAAAAAATTGAAATGCCTCAAGTCAAACCAACTGTGAATGAATCATAGAACAATTGGCATGCTAAAGTCCACAAGAAAAACTTCAAAATCAAAAATCCAAGTGCTACGTAGTCCAAGTCCCTAGTTTATTTCTATTGAATTGGATCGGATAATCAATAACCAGAATTTTAAAAAAATAAAATAAAATAGAACTCAATATCTTCATTGACCCCTAAAGTAAAGAAATGCCTGCATTGTATAGATAAATATAATTGCAAAGCATTCCTCACAGTGTCAGCAAAACCCCAAAATCCAACGAAGAAAAATCTGAAGTAACTCTAATCAATAATCATCAGTCCCAGACAAAGATTTAAGAATTAAAATTCGAAAATAAAACCCTAAATCCTGAAGTTACCAAAACCCTAGATCTGTAAATAACCTTTCTCAAATTCAACAAGCAATCAAGGGCCACATTAAAAAATCTAAAACAGCATATATATCCATTACACAAAAACACAAAACCCTAAATCAATACTCAGAAATCAAGATTTCATAACCAAGAATGGCCATTAAAATTACATAAAAAAAAAAAAAATCACAAATCTGTATATACCTGCTTGTACTTCTTCTGCCTCTTCCCATCCGCAGTCTCGATCACAAACTCCGTCGAAAATATATTCGTAAGCTTCGCTCCGTACCCGTTCCTCCCACCGGTCGTCTTCTTCATCGAATCGTCGTAATTACTACTCGTCAGGAGGTGCCCGAAGATCATCTCGGGCACATAAACCCCTTCCTCCTGATGAATCTCCACGGGAACACCATCCCCATTGTTGTAAACACTAATACAGTTCTGTTCCACATCGATCGTCACCTTGACGGAGTCCATGGATGGGTCTCTCTGCTTGTTATCAGCGGCATTTACGAGGATTTCGTCGAAAATCTTGTAAAGGCCCGGGACATAGGAGATAGATCTGTGGACCATTTCGTTGTTTTCGTAGACCCAGAGGGTTTGGGTGTGCTTTTCGATGGAGCCGACGTAGGTGTCGGGACGGAGAAGAATGTGCTCGAGCTGGGTTTTCTTTTGGTAGGTTTCTTCGATGGTTTTGGCCGATGTTGCTGTGGCGGCGACATTGGCGTTGTTGCTGCTCTGTAAGGGTAGTTTTTTGTCTTTGGCCATGGTGGTTTGAAAGAGAGACACAGAGATGGTGTCTTGGAATCTACAGTGAGTGAGAGAGAGAGCGAGAGAGAGAGAGCGAGCGGGGTGAAATGAGGAGAGAGACGGGGTTAAATTGATCTGGGGCAAACGGTCGATTGATTTGAATTTGAAATTTGAGTTGAGCGGGATTTCAAATGAACGGACAGAATGGTGCTTTGGGATCGAACCGCGGTGGTCCGTTCATCGGCGTCAAAAGCATTGAGAAAAGAGAAAGTGCACATGCGAGTCAAATGTGTTAAAATGATATTAAAATGATGTAATTTTGAAATGTTTGAATTATGAAAATTCGGGTATTAAGATCAAGTTTGGCATCTACTAAATAATACAAAAAGTTAAAAAGTCACTATCTTATTTAAGTCATGTCATTTTATTTAAATCACATCACCTCTCTAACACATCACATCAAACCCAACCCAAACCCAACCCATA